AATATGGCTGGGAAAGGAAGAAGTTAAATTATCATTATTTGCTGATAACATGATACTCTATATAGAAGACACCAGTAACTCCATCAAAAAACTCCTTGAGGGGCTGGGGATTTAGCTCAGCGGCATAAGTGCCTGCCTTGCAAGCAGGCAGTGGTGAGTTCGATCTCTGGTACCGATAAAAAGGAAAAAGACAAAAAAAAAAAAAAAAACAAAAACAAACAAACAAAAAAACTTCTTGAATTAAAAGCCAAGTTTGGCAACACAAAGCAGGATACAAAGTTAACACTCAAAAATCAATAGCGTACCCATACATGAATACCATACTCACTGAGAGACAGACTAGGGAAACAACACCTTTTACAACAGGATCAAGAAACATGAAATCCTTAGGAATCAATTTAACAAAAAAGTCAAAGACATACATATTAAAAACAACAGTTCTCTGAAAAAGGACATTGAAGACGATGTAAGAAAATGGAAAGGGATCCCATTCTTAAGATAAGTAGAACCAAAGTAGTAAAATGGTCATACTTCCAAAATTTACAAACATAAGATTTAATGCAATGCTAGTCAAAACACCAAGAGCACACATCACAGAACTAGAAAAAAAAATCTTAAAATTCACATGGAACCAGAAGGGACCTAGAATAACAAAAGCAGCTCTGGACAACAAAGGCAAGGCAGGGCAGTGGGCATCACAATCCTGATTTGAAATTATACTACAAAGCTCTTATGATTAAAGCAAAACAAAACAAAACCAAAAACTGTGGTACTAGCACAAAACAAACAAACAAACAAGATCCAAGCATCAATGGAACAAAATGGAAGATGCAGAACCAACTTCAAGCACACCTAGTTATCTCTGATCAGCACCCAAACACTTTCACTGGAAGAAAGTCTCTTTAAAAATGTTTCTGCCAACAATGGCTTTCCATGTGCCAAAAACTGACCCCAGACCCATATCTTTCACCATGCAATGAAAATCAAAATAGAGTAAACATCTAAACATTAAAACAGAAACACTTTATCTACTGCAAGACAGAATAGGCAAAACTCTTGAACACATTAAGTGCAGGCAAAGATTTTATGAACAAAACACCAATAATATATGAAATATTATGAAGAATCAACAACTGGGATTACAACAATGAAAACGATTTTATACAGGAAATCACTAGGAAAGAGACAATTTATAGAATGAGAAAAAATTTTAAGTTATTCTTCAGATAAAGGAGTAAGACCTAGAACATAAAAGTACTAAAAAAAAAAAAAAACCAGATCTTCCCCAAATGTGCATCTGATACGTATACACATTTCTCAGATGAAGAAGCACAAACAGCAAATAATTACATGAAAATACGCTCAACACCACTACGTCATTTAAGAAAAGCAAATTCAAACAATGCTAAGGGCTGGGGATTTAGTTCAGTGGCACAAGTGCCTGCCTGGCAAGTATGAGGTTGTAAGTTCAATTCCCAGTACAAAAAAAAGAGAGAGAGATTCCATTTTTCACCAGAAAGAATAGCTATCATTAAGAAATCAACCAATAACAAATGTTGACAAGGTTGTGGAGAAAAAGGAACACTTCTCCATTACTAGTGGAAGTGTAACTGATAAAACCCCTATGCAAATCAGCATGGACATTCCTCATAAAACTAAAACTAGAGAGGTTCTATTTGATCCAGCTATTCTCCGTGGCATTTTCCTGAGACTTAACATGGTGATAACACCCATGTTTATAGCAGCACAATTTATAATAGCTAAATCCTGGAAACTGCCCACATGCCTATCAACAGACAGATGAATAAGTGGTATTCATGTGCAATGAAGTACTACTCTGCCATAAGGAGGATACATTGGAGTCATTTACAGGAAAACAGATGCACCTGTAAACCATAACCAAAGTGAAATAAATCAGCACAAGTTCAAATATTACATTGTTTTTCTTGTGTGAGAAACCCAAACGCTAAATAAGGAAAACAATGGAAGATAAGACATTGGGAAGTAGAAAAAACATATTCAAAGTAAAGGGAAACAAGTGAGATGAGAAAGAAGGAAAACAGAAAAAAAAAAAAAAATAAAAAAAGACTAGAAAAAAAACCAGAAACACAGCTTTTGTAAATGAGGAGGGAAGAGTTGAAGGACAAGCAATGAAATAGGAGAAAAAAAAGATCAAAATATATTATATACAGGTACAAATTCCCTATGATGACCGATTAGACTAACAAATATATACTAATAAAATTAAAAATTAAAAAATTTCAAAAACAGATTGGTGTTTTCGTCCTTTATAAAACTAGAAAATTACCCTTTATAAAAATAAAAAAAGTATTTTCTGTTCTCAGAAAAGATTGAGGCTTTAAAAAGTGACATTAAAAAAATCTTTATTTTTCATATAAAAACAATGACAGCACCAATGTTTAAAGTTACCATTAACAAATGTTAAGGAGGATTATCTCTGTAAATCTTTTTAAAGCACTTCGCTATTAAATTAAACAATATATGCTTTCCTTACTAATCTAATTTCAGTGTTTGTTTCGGGAAGATCATCTTTATATAGCAAGAGATTTCAACTTTTGCTTAATTAGAACTACAGCAAAATGTCCGCAAATTTTACTTGCATTTAACTACATATTATTAGGAAGATTGTTTTTTGGTTTTGGTTTGTTTAACAAATTAGCATCCCATACCAAATGGTTTTTTTCACTGTGGCAGATTAAGTATATGGGTACTGTCAGGTCTTAATTCACCTCAAAAGGGGTAAAATAGACGTAGTCTAACTGGCAGCTCTATTCCAAACATATTATTTATTCTTTATGATCACTTACTATAGCCCCAAACCTGTTTTCAAGACCCCCAGCAAGTATCCCCTGTCCTATTATGAAACATATTTGATGCAATTAAGATATAATAAAACAAAGAATATCAGAGAGAACCTTAGGACTACTTTTTCCTAACTAGTAGAATGAACCCTTTTGGTACAGGATTAGTACTCTGACCTCATACAAGACATACACTGATAATGTTTCACAGATTAATGTTTCTTGGACTAGCGATAGTATCTTTACTTTATCCTGTTTTCCACCATGATTTTGTTTTGATACAGAAACGTCAAGCCAGTTGATTACCTGACTTCTAAGGATTATATATTTATTTTCAAAGTGACCTCAATTACTACCATTAAAATACTAATTACATTGTAAAATAACACTATGCAGTGTTCAAAGTTTTACTGCACTGCACCCTAAGAAATTTTTTCAAGCATACACAAATAAAATTCAACGTGGATATCTGGTTCATTAGAAACTATGAAAAGCATGTGCTTAGTAAGTACAAGGCCTGGATTCAACCCCCAGTTTCTTTCTCTCTTTCTCTCTCCCTCTCCCTCTCCTTCTTCTCCTTTCTCTCTCCCTGCCTCCCTCTCTCTCTCTCCCACCAAGGGGAAAAAAGCCCTACTATTTTTTTGCAAGACATTTGAAAGCATTTAAAGAGCACTCTTGGTATCTTAGTCAAAAGAAAATTTCTCTATGGAATAGACGACAGACTCTCCTATTTTCTTTGACCAGTACGGTTCTGTGTATTTTTCCATATAACCTTTCAGAATCAATTAAGAAATAGCCTATAACTTAAAAATTTAGCTAAATAAAACCATAAATAAATATACTATTAGTGTTAAAAGAAAGTTTAAAATTATATATGTGACAGAAATGAAGTCCAGAAGGAAATTTGAAGGACACAGAGTTAAGACTTGATATGGAACTTAAAACTCTTCATGACTTAGATGGAGTAACTATCAAGAAAAAAATAATACTATCTGCATTTTACTGAAAATATTTTTAATTGTTATTTACTGAGCTATGCCAAGGTATTAAAACTGAGTGAATAACTGCTGTAAATAACAATGACTACTATAACACACACATTTTACTAGTCAACAACCACTTTTTAATGATTTCCTACATTTCTGAAATAAAAAGACACACAAGCAAATTTTCTGAGTTACTAAGTCAGTCTCAAAAAGAGTGAGGGAGAAGGCTAATTAGGTGATGCAGGAAAAAACATAAAGAACCAAAAGATCTTTTCAATGGACAAGGAAAAAATCCTCAAAGGTCTGCTGTCTGTGATTTGACATATATATGCAACATTCTTGGAACTCTAAGTTCATAATTTATAAGATTAATAAATATTATAACTAACCATGTTTCACACACCAAAAGTTAATGCAAACACACAAAACATTTCAAGAAAACACAAAGCAATCAACCTATTTTTTATTCCTCTTTAAGACTTAAACAATCATCCTTAACCAAAACTATTTTCCAAATTAAAAATATTCTTAATATAGTTTTCCATAAGCTTTTACATAAATGATATAATACAAAACTTTACAGAGGTCTAATAAAACATGTTTAAAAATGTGATGAACAGCAAATTTTCAACTATTTCCAAAGGAGGTCAAGTCTGACCTCTGGGCCATGCAGCACTACATTAATAGCTCTGCAGAAAGAAAAATGATAAGGTATGAAATGCGTGCTTGGAAGCTAGGACCTTATCAGTTAGAATATGATTCAAGCCTGTAAGACAAACTGCTCAGCAAGGCAAGTCACCTTCCTGCTGTGATAAGGATAGAGCTGAATTTCCAATGCCATTGACTATCTCCTTCATCGTTGTCTCCTAGTTTGATATCATACAGTCAAGGAATGGCTGATAGTTCTGAAGCATCTACCACTTATTTTGAAAACATTTTGTCAAAGTCACCTAGTAGGATAATTATCTTTGCCCATTAACGGACAACTTCAGAGTATAAATAAAAATCTTTAAAGGACAGTCACTAACTAATAAGAATCCCTGTGCATTGACCCTTCAAAGAATAATTCTATCTCAGGTTTAGTAAGTAAAATGTTCCTTAAATCTCTTTAATAGTTTGTTTGGTTTGTATACGTAATATTTATAATATAAAAAGTACAAATTCTATAAACTGTCTCACTTTAATCGCATACCTGAACACTGATGGACTGTTTCAGCAGTTCTTCCACAAAGTTCCAATTTGATTCTATCCGTCTCTAGAAAGGGAGAAAATATTCTTGCATATCAATTATGGCTCTTGATTACACATATATTTACAATTATGGTGCACCAAAATCAATGAAGTACATTTTCTCTGTCATTAGAAAGCACTGCAATTTCATGAATTGGTAATGCTTTGAGGTAAAGAATTAGTTTTTAGACTTGGAAGAAAAAGATTCACAACTATCTCAACTCAAAATAAACCTTATCAATTATCTGATTAAAAGTGATGCTCCTATAGGATTGTAAGTTGTTTAATGAACTTTTAGTTTTGTTGTCAGACATAGTCTAAAAAAATTATATATTATGTATTTTTTGGAGTTCTTCAGGCCAGGTAGTCTTTAGTATCTTCTATTTTTTTTTTTTTCGTCTTTTTCATTTTTATCGGTACCAGGGATCAAACTCACGACTGCCTGCTTGCAAGGCAGGTGCTTATGCCACTTGCTAAGTCCCCAGCTCCCAGTATCTTCTATTTTACTCATTAAATTTTTCCTTTATTTTGTTCAAAATAGTCCTAAGACAGTGTATTTTATTAAGCAACATAGCTAAAAATTTTGTTAAGAAAATAAAATTACACTTTACATAGTGCTACCTGCCAAGAGTTTACTATCTGATGACATCAATCATATGAAATATTCTCCATAATAAAGAAGAAAGCTAAACTTTTATACAGGCTAGAAATTGAAACAATTCCACTTTTCCAACAGTACAACTTGGAAAATGTTTTCACAGGATATCTGGTTCTTAAATGCTTAGCTATGTAGAAACTGGTCAAAACTGGAAGCAAACAAACAAACAAACAAAAATCTCCAAGATGAAGCAAGGAACATTTCCAATGGAAGAAAAAAAGTGTGAAAAGCATGTAAGATTTCCAAAAGCCAAGTCAGAGGCCTTAAACAATAAAGACATAGACTCTCACTATACCATATGATGCTCGTAATCAACTCCAATGATTGCTAATCCCACTACACTAAACAGCTGAACAAATAAGTACCTTAATAAAGATGTAAAGCAACTGTAGTAGCCAGCCTCTAAGATAACCTCCCAGGACCTCAGCCTCATATACTCACTTTATGCAATAACCCCCCACATGGGACCTGGGTTGATCTTGTCACTAACAGACATTCCATATAGATAATAACAAGATGTCACTATAAAAGTAGTTATAAAATACTGAAGGTTGACAAAACTCTTTTTGATTTGATCCTGGAAACACCAAACTGTGAGGAGTACTGAAGGGAGTACATGACGGGTAACTGAACTGTTCTGCCAACATATGAGGCTGGGAGCTAATCCTCCAGCCCCAGTTAATCTTAAGACTATAAGCTCTTAAAAGATACTGAGCCACAATCACCTACTTAAATTGGTCCTAAATGCCTGATTCAGAAACAGATTGTTAGATGTGTGATGACTTTTTGAAATGTATTGTTTGTACAAGTAAAGTGAATATGAAAACATTTTTCTGGAGAAAATATGGAGTAGAAAATATAGCTCTGCTCCAGGAATAAATCTGGGCTTTGCCCTTAGTTTCTGGGAGGTATCTGAGCCCTCAGAATGTTAAAGCCCAGATAGGAGCATCTTGTTTTCGAGCCATGATCATCCTGGGCAGTCTAAGAATGTATCGAAAACATATGCCATACCCATACGGGCTTAGAGTAGGGCCTAAAAGACTAACACAGTGATTTAGACTAGCCCTTTTGGATTAGTTGACTTAAGAGACTGAGGAAAAAATAATTGTGTGTAGCTAATAGATCATGCTTACGTAATGCAGATCCAATAAAAACCATGAACACTGAAAACTGGGACAGCAACCATAGTTCGCAATATTCAAACACTCCCATACACTGATGGTAGGTGCTTAATGTGTCCTGATCCCACAGGGAGAAGACAAAAGAAGGTCCACATTTGGTACTTGGTTTGGATTCTGTTTTATGTACTTCTTTTCTTCTGTGATTCTAATCTATTTCCTTTCTCTGTAATAAACATGAATCTAACAGTTTTCAAGAGTTCTGCATATCCTAGACCTGAGAACAGTTCTAGGAATTTCCAAGTTTGCAATTAGTGTCAGAAGTGAGGGCAGTCTTACGGATTGAGCCCTGAACTTTAGTAGTTGGCTCTCAAAAAGGAGACCATTTTGCTCTAACAATACTATATTGGAATACTGGTAGGTTCTTTATATATTAATTCCTAAAAAAAACTCTTACTATTTTGCAAAAAACACAATGAAGTCTCAGAAAGGCCACATATGTATGAATCAGAGAATGGATTCAAATCCAAGTTGGTCTGGCTCCAAAGTCAGTGTTCTTTCTATTGTATCATGTATTAGGAACCAATTTTTTTTCTCTAAAAAGCGTATCTTTAGACTTTATCAACTTATTTTTACACTATTCTTTTTATTAACATACTGTCACCAACTAGGGCTGAGTTAAGTATATGTCAGGGTTTATGTAATAAGGCAAATGAATCATAAGCACTAAACAGTATAATTCTGATCCAAAATATTTCAATATGGTTCAAGATTGTAGTTATAATTTAAATAAATTGTACATTAAAGAAAAAAACCGAAACTATAAAATGTCTAAAACAAATACAAGAGTAGGTATCGAAGAGATACAGATTTGTCTCCCATATGAAAATTTAAAGTTGAGCAACTTCAGCATATTTTCCTACATACAAAATCACCGAATTATATAATCTCATTTCAAAAAGCCAAGTTAATACCAAGTAGGAAGTTATCAGTGATGTTTTGTATTTTTTATCCTACCATTAAAACTAAGAAACACACTTATGTACTGCATAGGGTGTAATTGCATGGCATTATGAAACAGAAACTCTTGCGCCTATCATTTTAAGGTCACATTTCACATTTTTTATCTGCTGGCATTTCAGATGTTTCAAACCAAGCATCAACTACCAATTGCTCTACTACATTCTTGCAGAGAAAGTACCTCACAGTGTTGGTGGGGGGATCATTTAGAGGACTTCTTCAAGTACTTCTTATTGCCTGTGTCTAGATGTTCAGCCAAAGCCTCATGCAGTCATGGGGGAATAAGCTTTTCAGACATGGCTGAATCTAGTGTGCGATGCTGGAATTCAGGGTGTGTGATAGTTCGTTCACTGTTGGTTTGGCACCACCCTAGTTCCAACATCCTCGATAGAGTATGAAAGGGACACCGTGAAGGTTGGCTGCTGATTCTGCTGTCTTTTCCCACCATGAACTGTTCTCTGCCATGCCACTCTATCCTGGAGCCAGTCAGCAATTGGCTGAAACCTCTACAAACTGTCAGGTAAGTAAACCTTTCCTGCTTTAACTTCAGATGTCAAGTATCTTGTGTCAGCAATGAGTGAAAAGTAACTAAGACACCTTCCATTTTCATAAGGCTCCCTCAAAGGATGTTCAGAATAAAGAGCTGAGTCTGTCCAATATTTAGAGAACAAAATATGTTAAGTCCATCAAAGAATGTTTCATAATAACATTCAAAGCCAGAGTTCCCATACATCATATAAAGAATAAACAACACAAAAATTATCTAAAATTAAAGATTCCCAAATTCCAAACTAGATTATTAAACAGGGATCTCCAGCATTGAGAACTACAAATTTGAATTTTTAAAAACTCACATAGGTCTGATGATGCATCAGGTCTGTGAATCACTCCCACAAAAAAGACCAATTTTAACAATATAAATAAATTGGATTTAAAATTCTATAGGTTTATGTGCTGGAACTGATAATCTGAGAGAATTCTATTCATTTCTGAATGTGGAAGAAATTAAAATTACATACAAATTAGGGCCTCAAATAAGTACATTTACCAGCTGGTTTTATTCATAGAGCTTCTTAAGAAACACTCCAATACCACATTAATATAGTAGTTCAAATCTGTGTCTTCCAATTGAAAGCAAACTTCATGTTTGTTTAATGGATTAAAAATACCTTTGGGAAAAGCATTTCTAAAAATATTACTCTAAAGATATTTAAAAAATTATCCACAAGGACAAGTAATTCATTGCTGGAGTCACATGCATTCCTTTGCCAGTCTTACAGGTTTTAACACTAGCAAATTTTAGAATAATTCAAATCCTTGGTTTTTCAGTGAGGGAAAAAGAGGATAAGAAGGGCTTCATTTACATAAAGTGACACAACTAATTAGAAGCAAAGGCAGGAATGAATACCAAGTTTTCCATAAAATGCATTTATAGAATCAAATAATAGAAACATAAACTTTAGTTTTTCCAGATGCTTACAGAAACATTATATACAATTTTGTTACTTCTCATCTTAAAAAAAAAAATGAATCTAGAATATAAGAAGGTTTAAAAAAATAAGATCTTGGGACTGGGGATTTAGCTCAGCAAGGTAAACGCTTGCCTAGGAAGTACACGGTCGTGAATTCAAACCCCGGCACCAAGAAAAAAAAAAGATCTTACCATTTCATCTGGTACTCCATGCCGATCAAACTGGTAATATGATGCTACACGAGCAATAATCCACCAGCTAAAACCCAATGGATCTCTGGAATGGATCTCTGGCATTGAAGATCTTTGTTCATTTGACGTTTCAAAGAGTGTTTTAAGTATTTTATTCAACCAGTTCCAAAATGACTATAAAAATAGAGGTAACATAATTTAAAGACACTGTTTCAGACTGAAGGTTTTCCTCCATTTTCTAATGAAGTATACGTACAAAAGAGAACATAAAACATTAACACAAAGCAAGAAGGGTAATTTTTTTAAATACCCAAGAAGAATTAGAGCATAACTGGTACTTTGGAAATATTCTATGGGTCCCCAAGGTAACATCATCTTGTCTTATCCAGTGTTAACAATTACAACTTTCACGATGAATCAGTCCCTTGGTTTTAAAGGTTTGCCACAGTTATATAAGCTGCAAGCCTATATTACATACTGTTCAGATTTCTGTGCTTTTCTTAATGTAAGCTTGTAATCTTAAGTGGTTTGTTTCTGTTCTTCAATAACTTAATCTTTTTGCTCAAAATCATGTTTTTGATCTCATTCACATTAATGAGTATCACCATAGTTCACTGGAATATTTCAATGTATAACTATGTGGCATACCATTCAACCAATCTAATACTGTTGAGTATCAGTGAGTATTAGTGAGTTTCTGGGTCTTACATGTAAATATGAAAGCTATTAGGTATAAAATGGTTAGCAAGTTCTCTTAGCTTTTAATTTCTATACATTTTGAAGTCATGCTCTAATTTTAGTACTGATACATTCTTTTCCTAAGCATTAATTCTTTTTGTAATCAAGACTGGTCAATACTTCCTATTATTTTTCTGGTTTTTTTTGAGACAGGGTCTTGCTATCTAGCAGAGGCTGGCCTCAAACTCAGCGTGATCTTCCTGCCTCAGCCTCCTGAGTGCTAGGATTATAGGCATGTGCCTCCACACCTGGATTAACTGTGTTGATGTTCATCACTGCTTCATTTATTTCCTTCCTTTTAGTTTCTTCAGGTTAAAAGGATTATTTTAATACTCTGATAAATTCACAAACTTTTAATCTTTATTTCCTCTAACATCTGCATTGAAAGTTATGAATTTCCCTCTAAAAGATTTAACTTGTACTTAGTTATCATTTACGTCAACAGATTTTGTAATTTCTATTAGTTTTTCTTTTACCTACAAATTATTTAGAAATACTCCAATCATTATATATATATTTCTATTTCAAGTTCCATCAGCTTGTTTTCTATATTTAACATGTTACTGTCTGCATTAGAAATTATCATACTGATTTTATCAATATAAAATTAAAATTTTGTTTTAAAGCTTATTTTTTCCAATATAGTTTAATACATCATTTTTATATCTATCAGTTATGAATCTTGATGTACTTTGTTTTAAATAGGTCTTTCGTACATAACTTTTAAATACAGCTTTTAGTAGTTCATTTACTACTTTAATTTAGTTTTAAATCTACTGTCTTATGCTATATTTTTATTTCTATATCTATTGTATCCATCAACAACTTGAGTTGAATATTTTACCCCCTCAGTAGCTTGATAGAGCCTCCTCTTCTTTCAGTGCAGATGACCTTAGAAACAACTGTATAATAATACATCCTTGTGGAGTCACCGTTCAGTTCCTGGCCTTAGTCATTCAGAATTTTTCCACAGAACCTAACGAATAATTGTTCTCAGAAACCCTGCAATATCACAGAAACCACAAATACCCTTCACAGTTGTTTTTTTGGCCGGAGGTTTGCAAGAAGCCAATCAGAGAGTGTTACTCAGTTCTCCTTGCTGCTGACTGGCTACTGCCCTGCAAACCATTTCTGGCAGATGCACCAGCATTCCTGCATCTTAACCGGTTGTTGTATAGGCTACAGCTACCTCCAGTGTTCTTAGTTCAATTTTTCTTAAAACTCTAAGATCTCTAAGATGCCACCAAAACATCCTGTACCTTCTAAGACTTTTTAAATACAGTATTAAACTAAATTATAACTGCAGGAGACATACTATAAAAATACTTGTAGTACTTATAGGCAATTTTCTGGCTGTGTCTGAAATTCATGGTTCTTCAAACTTCACAGGTGCTCCAGAAATGTAACTCCTAAGAATTTCAGGTGTTCAAGAGTCTTTCTGACATTTTGTTTTAGTATGATGAAGACAGCATTCCACTCTTCTCCAAAGCTATTGTAAAATCACCTGTCCATCTAATTTTCATTCAAAGTTTTTCTCTCTGATGAACTGAATGTTTGTCTTTAATATTTTATAATTTCAAATGCATCCCCACATATTTTTCCTTTACAAATAAATGTTAAATGGCTCACTGTGTTTCTCAATCTGATTAACTTTTATTTTGTTTAATATATTTATTCTGTTCCACTCCTTTCCTCCTTGTACTTGCAAGTAGATGCACATTTATCAGATACCTTCCCTAAACTTCATAACTTTTTTCATGCCTAACTTTCCGTGCCATTTAACCACTTAATAGTTTCTATCTTTGTCTCTCTTTACTATATTGCACATAATGACATTATCAAAAAGCATTATCAAAATTTCCCTCCTACACCATTATGAGGCATTTAGAGGCTGAATTTAACTGCCCTGTGCTTCTTTTAATGTTAATATGGAACAGTTTCTCAGATTTTACCATTTATAACCTTGACACTTTTTAAGAGCAAACGTTATTCATATTTGACTACTAATATTTATTATTAAGCATTTTGTCAAGAAAGTCACAAAAATATTTTTATTCTTTTAATTCATCATATTGGGGATATATGATATCAATTTGTCCTTAACTGATTTTTTTACTTCATTATGGTGGTATCTGTCAGATTTTCTAGCTCTTTAAAGTTGTCTTACTTAAATATTTATCTGCTTTATAGCTCTTACTGGGAAAGAGGGTTTTATCAGCTGGATTAATTCTGTTTTTAGTTTTCTTCTACTTATTTTGTACAAGCTTAGTCAGCTTTACTCTTTTCATTTTGTAAATGTAAACTAGTTTAAAAGACTCCTGGATCAGAGCCACTCTCTTCTGCAAGGTACTAAAGGAGTATTCTTTTCTTAGATTTTCTTTTTTCGTTTCTTTAAGTGGTGGTGGTCGTGGTGGGAAAGTCAGTACAAATTGCTTGAGATACTTTTGTTTTTGTGGTAGTGGTACTTTGTTTTACAAAATCTAAATTTTTAAAAATTAATTAAGTGTATTAGTATATTTTAGGTACACATAATGATCACATCCACTATAGGGAATCTGTACCTGTACATAATTTACCTTCTTTAAACCTAAATTTTTGCTTCTTGATGCCATCACTTTCCAATCACCAAATGTTACCACTAGTTCTTTTCTGCCTTTTCTCCCTCCAAACCTCTCTCTTCAAACACTTGCTCTTCATGCATAATCGTATCTTGTTTCTATAATCAGCTCTCGGATCTACAAAAACACTTCCTCAGTATTGTCTCATATTGGCAATTGCTTTAGACCAATTTTATGATCACAGTTAGCTCTCTTCTGTCAGCCCAATCCTGCTTGTTTAGAAAAGAGTTGCAGTAGGTGCTTTGGTGATTTTTGCTTTTTGAAATTTACAGCTCTGACCAGTTCTATTTTCTATTATGTAATCAGTGTTTGGTGGAAGTTTTAAATCTTGTTTTATATTTTCTCAGAAAGTTATGTGGACAAACATGAGTTTAGATATCCACTCATTATCTCTGGCTACTTAGAAATAAATGGGTTGATCTTTTAAATAAAATACAGGTAATATGAATGCAGGCTATAAACCTGCATAAATTCTGGATAACAGTATATAAAAACGATTTTAACCCTTTGCAAAATACAATAGTTATAGACAGACAATATTCCTTAAAAGTCAAATTTCTAGTTCATTTTTTGGGTATCCAGCTTTGAGGGCACCTGGTAATTCAAGTTAACACTGAGCTTTTTCTTCTACTCATGTATGCTATAATGCATAAAAGAAAATTAGACAGATCAGCAGCTTCTAAGGCTATAAAGCAGCTATCTTGTTCAGATGACTGAGACCTCACCTACATTTAATACTTACTCTCTGTAATTTTACTTTCTACTGGCTTAATGGCACATTTAATAATTTGTTATATGATATCTAACATGATTAGACTATTTCTTGCAAGAAGTTCAAACTAACTTTCAGGAATGGAAATTGCTATATTAAGTATCAAAATAAAACAGCCTCCCAAATCTTCCAATAATATAATTTATTTAGTTGTAATATAAAAAATGAAATGACCTTAAGACTTTCACTATTTTAAAAAACTTCTAATTACCAAATAAAATGAAAAGTATGTAAGTCATTTAAATGATACATTTCACTGTGTAAATTTCTGCAACTTAACATTTCATATAGAGCCTATTTTTCTGTTTAAATGTTAAAAAAAAAGCTACTGGCAACAAGATGAACCTAATCACACTAGCTATATGTTGTTTACATCTCAAGTTTGAACTTTTAAAATAATAATGCTAAAGAAGCATAAAATTCTGATAAAGTAATAGTTTATAGAAAATGGAAATATGTATGTCTACCATGTCAAATGAATTTTTTAAAAACCTATCAAATAATTAAAAGCAAAAAAGACTCTTAAGACTTTGTAATACCTAAATTTCACTTAGAAAACTATAGTCTACTCTGACAGACCAAAGTGCAAGGAGCAAAAAAAATCTTATCAAAAAAAAAAAAAAATAAACATTGTAGTTAGGTATCTGGTGTTAACTCAAAATGAATATAGAACTTGTCAATCTGCAAAGGAGTTGTAATTAAAAATTAGAGATCTATATTCATGTTTTTGTATCAAAGTACAAGTTTCCTATGAATAAATATAGGTATACATATACGCACAAAATAAATAAAGTTAGATAACAAATCCAACTCTATGAAATATATAATCCAAAACTTCATGAAAAAAATTCAAAATCCTTTTTTGTATACTATAAATGATTTTTAGTACCATTTCTCAGTGGATTTTTTTGGTATGTTTTGTCCTACATATATCACTTTTTCAATTATTTATAGCACTTAAACTCCTGTTCTGAAGGTCTAATTCAAAATGAGGTGAAAGAAATTTTTCCATTTTCCTTTTGTGTTTCTCTTTTCCCCTCAGTGAATTATGTTTGCTATATTGCATAATAGAAGTCTGTATCTTCCTTCACCTGAAATCTTCTAAGTCTGCCACATCTTCTAAAATTTTTTCTGTGTTACTAAAAGGTACTAAATATTTTAACCTAAAACATTCCTGATAAAACAAAAAAAGAACCTGAGAAATAAGAGTCAAATTTTGAACTTCAATACTTTTCTTATTAAGTTTTAGATTAAAAATAAAGTAGCTGGTACTCACTCAATGTTTGGTGGTTGTTACTGTCTTCCTATAAAGAAGAATTTAAAGATTTTCTTGGCCAAGGCATTGAATGAATTCAACATATGAGTCAATTAGTTATTACTAAACATTAATTTTTCAACTTACTTCTGAGTGAGACCATTTGTGTCTGTGGTCAACAATATGTATGAGTAGAATCCATAATTCTTTTATGCATGAACACGGACAATGATCACTCAGTAATGCTTCAGAAGGACTAACCTGTAGAAAAGCATCAAAAGAAATTATTTGTAAGTAATTAACCAAATTTTACATACCATATATCTCACTTTTAAAACAATTACTTTGAAGAAAAACTAATTACATGAACTTTTTATGAAAACTTCATTTCATTAACTTCTAAAATCAATTTCTTTTTTAAAATAAAAAGTATAGAATTTGATTTTTGACTTAAGAAAGAAGACAAAACTTCTGCTTTATACATTAAGTCCAATGTTCAACAAATTGTCTTATAAATATTATGTGAACAAATAGTAAATATTTAAGATGACAGTACAATGGCAACCATAGACAACAGGGCTTTGTTCCCGTAAAAACTTTATCTATAAAAACAGGAGGTAAACTAGACTAAACCTGAGGGACATTGTTCTGGGTTACTTACTAAAAGATATTAAAAATTTTAACCTAAAACATCCCTGAAAGAACAAAAAAAGAACCTAAGAAATAAAAGAGTCAAATTTTGGACTAATTTAGTTCTAACTCATTTAGTTCCCCCTACCCTAAGTACAAAATCTAATGAAAAGATTACAAAATAAATTGCCATTCAATGTAAAAAAGAAAACAATTTTACAAAGTATAGTAAGAGTAATTCAGTGTTAAGCAATTCCCAAATTGTTTGTCATTTCTGCAACAAAATATTCTGAACTTCTATAGCTAATATTTCCACATACAGATGAATAAAATTCATGAAGTATTTAATATTTCACCTGTTATGTATACATTTCTAACAAAACACACTGTAAAAAAACCTGTTTAAGACATTACTAGAAATCTGGGGCTGGGGATTTAGCTCAGGGGCATAAGTACCTACCTTGAAAGCAGGCAGTCATGAGTTTGATCCCCAGTAGCGGGGAGGCGGGGGGGGGGGCATTACTAGAAATCCTAGTTAGAGCAATTAGTCAAGAGAAAGAAATAAAACACATCCATCCCCAATTTGCAAAGAGGAAGTTAAACTGTTTTCATTTCTAGATGATGCGCTCTTATAGAAAACCCTTAAAAATCCTTCAAAATATTTTAGAAGAAACAAATACAGTAAAAATAAAAGATACAAATCAACATACTTAGTTTCAATATACTCATAGCAAAGCATCCAAGAAAGAAATCAATAAAATGATAATAATTTCAAATAGCTAACAAGCATAAATATTTAGGAATAAATGTAACCAATGAGCTAAGAATTTACATGCTGGAAACTATAAACTGTTGATGAAAGAAACTAAAGAAGACACCAATAAACGCGAAGATATCCTGTGATCATGGAGTGGAAGAAATATTGTTAAAAATGTCCAATTTTCAAAAGTGTTTAACAAATTTAATACAATCCCTATGAAAATAAGATTTTTTTCCACAAAAACGGGGAAAAAACCCACAATTGAATATTTGCACAGAACCACAAAAAACCCTGAATAGCCAAGGCATTCTGGAGTAAACAACAAAAACTAATAGTATTGAACTCTTTGATTTTAAAATACACTACAAAAATACAGTAATCAAACTATATGTATTGACATAAAAAGAAGAACTGAACAGAATCCCCAGAAATCAGCTTACACGTTTACAGTCAATTTATGTAGGATAAAGATAAAAGAACACACCATGGGGGAAAAATAATTTCCTCAATAAATACTGTTAGGAAAATTTATGCAGGTGCAGAAGAACAACTTTGATGTTTTTTTAACACCATCTACAACAATCAATTCAGAATGGACTAAGGACTTTTTAAGAGATGAAACTATAAAATTACTATTAAGTAAATATAGAAGAAAAAGCTCTCTAACACTGGTGTGGGCAATGATTGCCATAATACCACGTTAATAGCACAGATGACAGAAGTGAAAACAGACACACTGAATTATGTTAAACTAAAAAGTCAACAATCTGCTCAGACAAGAAAATAAAGTGAAGATAAAAACCTATGGAACAGTGGAAAATATGTGCAAGCTTGTATCTGAGAAGGTAAATCACAAATAAATCCCTCAATAGCATGAAAATAACCAGGTTAAAAAATGAGCAAAGGACCCAAATAGAAATTTCTCAAGAGATAAAAATGACCAAGAAGTATATTTGAAGAAAACACTCTCATCACTAGTCATCACAGAAATGTGAAATAAAAGTGGATAAGACTTAATGTCACATATATAGGAATGTAAATAGCCAGAGTGGAATACAGTATAGAAATTTCTCAAAAATTAAAAACAGAGGTATCATATGATCCAGCAATCCTACTTCTGAGTATCTATCTAAAGGAAACAAAATCAGCATGCCAAAGAAGTATCTGTACTTCTATGTTCATTGTAGGCATAGTCAAGAAAAAAAGTCAGCCTAATTATGTATTAGAGGATGAATGAATAAAGAAAGTGTGGGATATATAGACAAAAAAAATACTGTTCAGGTTTCTAAACAGGAAATCCTGCTATTTGCACTATCATAGATGGAAAAGGTTGGGGCACTTTATGTGAAGTAAAATAAGCAAAGCACAGAAAAACAAATACCACACAATCTCTCTGACACGTGAAATCTACAAAGATTGAAATTATAGAAACAGTGATTAGAACATTGGTTCTCACGGGCTACAGATGAAAACAGGATATTCCTCAAAGGTACTGAATTTCCATTAGGTAAAAGAAGTAAGTTCAAGAAATCTATGATACAAAATGGTGACTTCAGTGAATAATAATATATTGCATTCATGTTCTACCAGAAAAAAATGATTTAAATACATGAATGTACATATTGATTATATAAATCGAGCCATTCCATAACATATACGTTTAAAATACCATGTTGCAGATGATAAATATATATACTTTATCTAACTACATAAAATAAATAGGTTGCATTAAAATAACATTATTATATTGTACCTGGCTAACTTACTGGTTAAATTATTATACCACAAGTATTAAAATAACATTACTGTATTGTACCTGGTTAACTTACTGGTTAAATTATTATACCATAAATAGAGTTCACACTTGTAAACTGAAATAAGAGATAATAATTGACAAATTTCCACTTCTTAAAAAGGAACATATCACGCTGCACTTTATTTGCTATTAGTCTGATGGTCCCAGGAGGTGGCATGAGCTAGACCCATCAGATGGTACAAGTGGCCTGACAGGACACTCACGCATGCACAGACCCATTGTGAACATGTTGAATCAGTATCTCCATTAAATAATAAATCTCCATTAAGTAATAAATGTAGTTATGTAACTACAGAAGTCACCTACATCCACACCAATGTTTATGGCAGCCAATGTGTGCATCATAGATGAATGGATTTTTTAAAATGTAGTATCTATACATAAAGGAGTACTATCAAGCTACAAAGAATAATACAGATGAAGAAAATGCAAGTGCCTGGAAAATACAATGTTCAGTAAAATAAATTAGATGCCTAAAGTTAAATATCACTTGTCATCTCTCATTTGAATAAGGCAACGTACAAATAAAGAGCAAAATAAAAGATGAATAGAAGGAAATATGAAGACATATTTGCAAATGGAAAAGGCTTCAGGACAACTGAAGACAGGGGAAGAGAAAGAAGGAAAAGGAAAAAAAGATTAAAATGTTTCATGTACAGCAACCACATACCTACAATGGATGCAAACACTGTATGTTATAAACACAAACTGAAAATAGGAATACAAAGGAAAATATCAACAAGAAATATAGAGATGAAAAGAAGAGGGTGGGTGGTAAAGGACAGGGATTTCAAAACAATTGAGCTGTATAATATGTATGTACCTACTTGCTATGGTGGATGTAAATTTTCTGCACTGCAAACACATACTAATAAAAAAAAAAAACTCACATAAATTATCCATGAGTCAAGACCATAAATGAAAATAGAACTTTCATTTACCAACAGATTTGCTTATTTTATTATTACATTAATAGTAATCAAACAGATTAAAGGGCTAGTCACTCCTAATTGAGTCAATGTTGAGCTTTAAGTTGCTCTCATTTATTTATTGATTGGATAAAAAAAGTAACTTAGTTTTAAAAAAATCTCAGAAGTGGGCTCTCTCATCCTCTTCTCCCCCAACTCCTGTCTCCTTTTCACTACCACTTCTTCCAGTAAATATTATATAAGATTCTTCTCTTATATCATTCATTCAAGAAAAGTGAATTTAACCCTTACTAAATGCTAGGCAGCGGGAAGAGAAGAAAAAAAAAAAAAAAAAAAACCAGTAGTAGGTAGGGAGTGAACCACCAGTGCCCAAAGGAAACTCAGATGTATGAAACAGAATAGCGACTTGGGGAAACAATCCAAGGATACTAAGAAATCTTATCTTTGACAAAGAGTGTAATGACAAAGAAAAGTAACCAAGACAGCATTTTGTACAGTGGAGTGGAGTCATTGCTGTGACTATACCTGATCATGTGATTCAAGAGCCTTTGTGAATAGTTTGTGGGAAGAGTTTGGAAAGGTTCAGAGACATCACCTAAATAGAGCTGTAATGCCTTAGGCTGTTCTGCATTGGAAACTGGTCAGGAGACCAGAAGGCTAATAGAAAGACTGCTGGAAAAGAACAGGCACGGAGGTTTCCGCTGGAAAGGACTGCGTTGGCTGTTGGGCTCTGGGTGATGTATGTTATGGCCTGGCAGAAAGTTTGTCTGAGTTTTGCTCGTGTCTAGAGACTTTGCCTGAGACTAAGATTAAGGGCAACGGACTGACTAATCTGGCGGAAGAAATCTAAAGGCAACTAAATGCTGAGACTGTCACATGGCTATTGTTGGGGGCTTTTAAACAGATTTATATTGGGAACCAAGGGCAAAGAGCCTAGCAGGATGATTTAAAGCATTGAGAGTTTGATGAGAAAGCTATAGATTGTAAAGATAAATCTGAGATCTCAATCACTGAGAAGGAAGAGAAATACAAAAGACAGCCTGCAGGCATCACAGGAAGAGGCAGTGGGTCTCTACCCTTTGCAGTCTTAAAACTTCAAGTGAAAGACTTAGCCTGGAGGAGAAAG